GCTGAGACCCAGAGTCCCCCATGAACTACTCTCTTCCCTGTTCCAGGACTTCCCCTGATCACACATCTGTATGCCCCCCCACTACACACACAGGGAAAAACCTGTCCCAAGGTCACACCCTGTAGCCTTATGTCCAGCTCTACCAGGTCATCAGTAACAGACCCTTGGGCATGCAGGCAACCCCAGGCAACCCACTCTGCATTCAGCACCCCACCCCACCCCACCCCTCTCGTCCTGCTCCAACTCTGAAATTGCCTGGCTTTTGCAGCCTGGCAAAGGTGCCCCCCATCTCCATGGCAGTGGGGGGAGCTCTACTTGAGGACTCTGGCCGAGAGACATTTGTGGCATCCATCAGGGCAGGTACGCTTCCGCTGCCTCTGTGGGACTGCAGAACCTGTGCTTTCTTTCCTCAGGCAGGTTTCCCAGATACACCAGCTGCTTCCTGGTGTGACACCTACTTTTGAAATGCCAAGAGGGGGATCATAGGTCAGGATGGAATATTTTTATGATAAAAAATGAGCCGCAGTTGCATCTACTTCAGGAGGGTGGGAGCCATCACCTGAGGTCACCCAGGCAGATGGATGAAAACCCCACTTATGAAGTCACTGCTCCCCTATTAATTAGGGGGGAGGGGTCCTCCAACACCGAAGCGGACCTCACCAGTGGCCAAAAGCTTGTCAACATTTTCCATGGAGAATGAAAATGTAAATAGCTTTCAGATCATTCAATGTCACTAAGGTATGGAAGAAGGTGGCCATACTGGGTGTCATTTATCTCGCTGTGGATTTAAAGAGCTTTTTTCTATTAAATTTCCTAAAATTAATGTTTTATGTTGCTCAGAGTAATTTGAACAATTATGGGCTTAAAGAATTGATCATTACAGCCCCTGGGACTCAGCACTCCACACTGGAACCTTTGAAACCCTTCTGATTTATCGAGGTGGCTACTCCGCAGGGCCAGCCCTGGAGCTGGACTCTTCCTGCTACACCCCTTTTGAGCAGCCTGGGGGCTGATCCAGTGGCAGATGGTGGGGAGGGAGGAAGGGGAGGAGTGTGTCCCCAGGTGCCCTAGATTGAAGGGGTCCTAAGCCATGTGAGCCAATATGAATTTTACAATATAAGAGAGAAGCATTTTTATGTGTCTCTTGGTTGAATTAACTGTCCCCACCCCTTTTAGACAGGACTTTCTGGGGCTTAGGCTATCTATCCCCAAACTGATCTGGGTTTGAACTCCTGATTCTTATGCCTCAGCCTCCCAAAGTGCTAGGATTACAGTGTCCCAAACCAGCAGGTAAAAATTGCTGCTTCCTTTTTTTTTTTTTTTTAATCACTTGGATTTCTTCCATTTAAAGATATAATATAGTTGCTAGTTCAAACGTTAACAAGCCCAAGTGAGTGATCTCAGACCGCCCCCCCCCATTCCTTTGAAATTCCCACTCAAAGCCTATGGGACTCCCCTGCTGGCTGATGAGCAGATGGACACAGGGCTGACCCACGCCATCCCTGGGCAGGCGCGTCTCTGCAATCAATCAAGAGATATATTCAAAATGCAGGCAAGGATACACAGGCAGGGGTGTGGGACCATAGACACTCCCTTCTTGGTTTCCTCAGTCCCAGTCTGTAGCATTTCCTCCAGCAGGGTATTTTAAACCCCCTAAAGCCAGAGGCTCCTAGATGCCAAGGCCCTGGGGAGATCCCCTGAGGCGCAGATAGCCTGAATTTCATGAAGGATACCTCACACACTATACCATCCTCAGTGTCCCTGCAGATCTATGCCACCTGGAATCAAGGGGCAGGGCTTTACCTCTTCCTGCCAAGGCTGAAGACAGCTGGTAGCCCAAGTTCTCTATCTCAGGTCTGGAACCTCTCTGGACACCTGCTGGGCTGACAGGGTGAGCTGGGACTTAGTTGTGAGGTCTGAGTCTGCATTCAAATTGCTGCAGCTTGAAGGGGATGGGGTGATGGGGTGGGGAGGGGGTAGCATTTCGGGTCCCAGCTGCTGTGCACTCACTATCTAGCTTCCTGTCCTTTGAGGGCTGCAGAGCATAATTAGATAGCAGTTCTGATAGGGTTGTTCAGGTAGGGTAACTGAGGCAAGGGAGATTACTCAAATGAGCCCACTTAGGACCTGCATAGGTGAACCATATCTTAGTTTGCCCTCAGAACCACCCCCTTTTCCTGCTCCGTTGGTACTAAAGTCCGGCTGGAGAGAGCCAGAGGAGCTCAGCTGACAGACGAAAAGGGCCCCCAAGGGGATACTTAGCACTTCATTAACCTGTCAATGCCTAAAAGGTCCCAAGCGGCCCTGGGGGAGCGGCTGCTGGCTGGCCAGGTGGGCGGGGCTTGAGGGTCTGACTTGAGAACAGCCACATTTATCTATCCTTTCTCCAAATCCTGATTCAGACCTGGGCTTTGAGCTGCTGTCTCTTAAGTGGCCATCATCCTAAAAGAGAATTCAAATTCATCTCTTCTACCTGTCTCAGTTTGCTGCCCTTTGCACAGCACCCTCCTCAGGCCACTACTGTCCCTCTCCCATGCTCTGTAGGATCCCCGGAGAGTGTATCCCCCATCCTAGGACACCTATAGTTCCTCATAAGCCCTTCTTTCAAGCCTGGGGTCCCGGCACACACCCTTAATCCCATCGCTAGGGAGGCGGAGGCAGTGGGATCTCTGAGTTTGAGACCTTCCCAACCTATAGCGAGAGTTCCATGACAACCAGGGATGCACAGAGAAACCCTGCTTCAGGGTGGGGGTGTGATGGATGGAAGCCTTCTTTCTCACATGTTCTGCTGGGTGGCATGGTGATTCATCCTCTCCCAAGTCCCGGGCAGTTCAGGCAAGAGCTACAGTGCCGGCAGTGGAGCTAGACTGAGCTCCCTCTTCCTTCACCACAGCAGGTGCCTCACCAGGGTAAGCCCCTCCTACTCTGGGCCTCAGTGGATCAGTGGGAGGAAGGGTTTGGAGACAGGTTTTTGGAATAAAGACTTCAGGAAGTCAGTAATGAGAGTTCCCAGTCCTGGCTCACTATAGTCTGTGAATGCCAGAAGGCTAGCCCTTTAAGATTCCTCTCAGTCCTTTTGAACCTATTCTATCAGGCCACCCCCATCGCTGTACTTGTCTCTCCCTCCCTTTCCCCAGGTCTGAGAGCCTCCTAGCTCAAAGGGTGCCTGAAAACACCCAATAATGACAACTGATCCTTCAGCTGATGCCTCTTCGAAAGACCCAAGGCTCCAGGGATATCAGGGGTAGCAGAGCCTCGGAGCTAGGGAGAGCAGCTCTGTTGGCTGAATCAAGTACCAATGAAAGGCACCTGCTCATCCCTTATAAAAGCAAACAACCAGGCTTCCTCCTTTAAGAATCAAGGACCTTATCTAGACCCATTTCATCTCAGTCGGACGGTGTGTGCCCACCACTGGTCTCTGTGGAACATAACCTGACAGGCTGGCACACCTGCCTTGATCCTCTATTGAAGAACCCTTTTCAAGAGCTCTGCCATTTCTTTCTTTTCTTCCTTCCTTCTTTTCCTTCCTTCCTTCCCTCCTTCCTCCCTTTCTTTCTTTTTGAGACAGCTTTGAAGCCTGTCCCGGGACTCACTCTGTAGACCAGGCTGGCTTCGAACTCACAGAGACCTACCTTGTCTCTGCCTCCTTAGTGCCAGGATTAAAGGTGTGCCTCACCAATGCCTGGCAGAGCTCTGTCATTTCTATTTAGGGTTCCCAGAAGTCAATTCACTGACCCTATGTTATACTGCAAGTTAGCAGGGCAGTTAGGACCAGAATCCAAACTGAAGAGAACTTGAGTCATTCTGGGGCCTCCGCATGGCACTCCCCACTGTGTTGGGTGGCTCCTTGAACATTACAGCCTGGCCTGGGATGGTAGAGATCCTACTGCCCATCACCAGTCCTTCGGTGAATGGACAGTAAATTCCACGCCTATTTCCAGGGCTTAGGTTTTGGAAAACAAGTGGGGAGAATAGAGGTCAAACCCATACCAAGGGCCTGTCTCAGCGAATCCTAACAGCCCCTCCAGCACTGTCATACTTCAGTTTCAGAAGACATCCTCTACTGCAGCAACACTCAGCTGTACCCTCCAGGTTCACTAGAAACACAGGTCTTCTAGCACTGAAACTGACAAATTTATTGAAGTCTTGGAAAGAGCGGATCACCAGAGAATAAATAAAAGTCGCGGGCTGTTTACAGAACCAACAGGTGGCCAAGAGCCTGGTTTTCAGGAATGATTTTGACTTACACATGGCCAAGCTTTGTGTCTGAGACAGATTCAGAGGACCCCCACTCAGCCTCCTCCAGTGCGAGAGACCACCCAGTCTGGGCTGGCAGAATCACCCCACCCCTGCTCAGGATCACAGTCTGTTTGGCAATGGTGTCTGTCCTTGGTGTACAACTCTGCTCTGTTCCTTCGAGAGGCTGTGCCTTAGGAAATGGGGCTGCTCTCACATTTAAAGATTACACCATGGAGAAGGGACTCCAGAAGCTTCCTCAACGCATTCCAGAACAAAAAGATCTGGAGATTCCAGGGACTGGACGGAGGGCCAGTGGGGGAGAGGTGTGCTCCCAGGTTTTGTCAGTGGCAGGGGAGGACACAGACATGGGCCCCATCAGAAGCAATGAAACAAGATGTTACTGTTATTTTATGCCAGGACTTTAGGGCTAGGGCCTGGGCCTGCAGCCCTGTCTGAAAGATCCGCAAGTGCTCCTTTAACTGGTCAATAAAGGGAGAGAAGTGCTTACAAAACACAGTCAAGAATCATGGCCTCTGGACAGCCACCAGGCAGGCCACCCTTGTGTTCAAGGAAGGGCTATGGAGCTCCCTCAGGCCCAGGGAGGGGCCGGGGAGCCTGGCAGTGGGGCAGTCCCTACTCTCCCACTTGGGAACCCTGTCCTTCCCTCAGAGGTCCGTGGAATGGACAGCATGGGGTGGGGCTAGCTGCCCATCCAGAGGCAGCACCAAGACCCCTGAGTTAGAGCCGGGGATCTGGGGGGCCTCGGTCAGAACTGAGCATGGTCTACCTCATCCAGCCAGGAGGCAGGGCTAGCAGGGAAGTCGGGATAACCACCGCTGCTCTCTGTGGACAGATCCGAGCTGGGTCCATTTCCAGCCAACACCCTCATGGGTGGGGGCCCACCTGGGGGTCCTGAGGGAACGAGGCCCAAGTTGGTGTCTGGGTATACCAGGCTGGAGAGGAGAGGCTGGGGGCCAGGAAGGCTCTGGGGCGCTGCAGGAGATGGAGGGATGCCGTAGGGACTTCCTGGGCGTAGCTCTCGGTACTGTTCTGGACCTGCCAAGCCTCCGTGCTCCAACGCAAAGCTCCCGAGGCCTCCTCCAACCGACCGGCCCAAGGCAGGGGTGGGTTCTCCGAGGCTGCTGTACAGGCCGTTGGCAGGCCCCATGTCAGTCATGGACGGCTCATCTGCAATCGAAAAGGGAGCTCGATGAGAGAGACGCTCACCCCTCGGTCTGAGGTTTCCGCAGTGTCTACCCGTACTGAATAAGGGAGACTGTCCTAAGTACAAGAACGAAGGGGCCAGTAAGTCTCTCAAGCAATCTCGAAATTTAGGACTGCCTTTCACGCCTCCTCTACCCGCTACCAGGAACCCTTTCCGGCTTTGAAATCAGATTAGAGGCTAGCTACTCCAGCCAGAGCGAGCCCAGGATGCCGCAGCCGTGGGAAGAACTCATTTTATAGATAAGACAATTTAGGGCTCCAGAAGCTGTGTTAGTAACCAGAGATCACAATCAGCCCCAAACAGAAGTGAATATTAAGGAATGTGAACAGTGTTTCTGGAGTAAAAAATGGGAAGTTGAGTTCCACAGAGAAGGTTGGAAGCTTCTTTTCTGCTCTCCAAAGTTTCGGTCCCTTGCCCCAAGAACAGCAGGGGATGGGGCTCGAGGGCCAGTGTAAAGCCTCCCTGGGAAGGCAGCCGGGGGTGAGGGTGGGTGTGTGAGAGTCCCGACCTATAGCTAGTTAATGCGTCGGGCTTACCAGTGAAGGAGACTTCAGCGTCGCTGTCCTGTCCCTCCTGGATGCTGTCCTTGTCGGACTTTGAGCTGCCGCGGGAGCGCTTCATATTGCGGAAATACTGTCCCCAGCGCTGCCGGCCCGCGTCTTTCTTCAATCTCTTTTCCTTGGCTCGGCGGTTCTGGAACCACACCTGGGGGGTAGGGATGGTGAGTGGCCGCCCGGCTTCCCTTGGAGCGCGTGACCCTTCTTGCCCGCGGGCCCGGGGGATGCGGCCGACCGCTGACCTGCACCACGCGCATGTCCAGGCCGGTCTCGGAGGAGAGCTGCTCCCGCACGTGGCGCGCCGGCTTGGGCGAAGTGTTGTAGGCGCTCTTCAGTGTCTCCAGCTGCTTGGCGGTGATAGTCGTACGCGGTCGCTTGGCTGTGGCTTCGGCTTCTGCGCGGGACAAACGGTGAGGCCAGCCAGCACTCTCCTGCCGCGCCAGCCTGCTCCCCGCACCTCACCCCAAGAACCCCGCATCGTTCTCCGGATGCCCATGACGCCCTGGCTCCTGGGCAAAGGCTGCCGGTGGCCCCTCGCGCTTCACCGAACGCGGAGTGCCGGCAGATGGGCTCTGAATTAGGAACCCGCTGTGGCGCGCATCGCAGCCAGATATGGTCCTCGACCCCTATTCTAAGAGTTTGTATCAGTCAGCTCTTCGTGGTCAAAGCTACTAATTCTTCATGATCAAAGCTGCTAATTCTTCCAAAGCGGGAAACCTCCTGTTCCCGCGACTGCTACTCAAGCTCCCGGAGCAGCTTACTTAGCGCCAGGGGCTTCAGTTCGCTCCACCTCCCAGCACCAAACCAATTCCCATCCCCAGCCTCCAGATCTGAGCATTTCCCTTATCGGCAGTGAGGGCCATCCCCGCCCACTGACCTCGCTGCTTGGCTGTTTCGTAGTCCGCCTTGCACACCAGCCGGCTGTCTTCCATGAGGTAGAACTCGTCCCCTGTGGCCAGCTGACGCTTGCAAACTACGCAGGCAAAGCAATGCAGGTGGTATACGAAGTCCTGGGCGCGGCGTACCACCTGCGTGGGCGGGATGCCCAGCTGGCATGCGGCGCATTTGGTCCCGAAGCGCCTGCGGGATGCACAGGGTGCGGCTCAGTAGAGCCACAGCAGCTCTTTCGCCCGGAGCGGGTCGCAAAGCAGTGAGCCTGGGGCGCGGTCTGGAAGACTCCTCCATCAGCTCTGCCCCACAGCCTAGGCAGAGCCACAATACCCTCGGTAGCCCAGCCTGTGCCTTGCTGTTGGGGAAGATGGGTAAGAGGGCCACCGCCTTACCTGGGTCCATTCCCTTAGCTTTCGAGCTTCCCACTCCCCAGATATTTATGGAACAAAAACATTTTAAGAGGGAGTAAATCTCATGCAATTCTACAAATTTGGTTTAATTTTTTTTTTTAACCTAATAACTGCTTTCACGATTTACGAAACAAATTACCCCAAAAAGCCATGCTGGGGCTGGAGGTTCGGCTGGGCTGGGTGGTTAAGAGCACTGGCTGTCCTTCCAGAGGCTCTAAGTTCAGTTCCTAGCACCCACATGGCCTCTCACAATCATCTATAATTCCAGTTGCAAGGGATCCGATGCCCTCTTTGATCTTCTGAGGGCACAGGCATGCACATGGTGCATAATCCATACATATGGCCACTTACATATACACATAAAATAAAGATTGTTTTAAAATGTCATGGGGAGCCCCAACCTGAGTTTGGCCAGACCCTCGGGGTGCTCTACCTGGGCAGGGACCTAGTTATTATGATGCTTACTCCCACCTTCTTTTCTGTTAGCCTTGCCCGTGTCCCCTTCACTCTTTCCCTGCTAGAGCAATTTGGCAGCCAGCTTACTTGAAGAAGTCATCTTTGCAGTAGACACTTTCCCCGCGGCTGAAGCATCGTTCAGCCAGAGGTATGTGGCAGTCACTGCACTTGAGACACTTGCTGTGCCAATGTCGGTCCAGAGCCTTAAGGATGAAGCGGTCCAAGATGTGCTGATCACAGCCGGCACACATCGGGATCTCTGTGGATACAAAAATAACCCAGGTTATGGGACACAAAGATGGGTGATGTCTCTTCATTGGCTGGAGCCAGCTGGTAGTCCTGCAGCCTTCAGGGCTGTGTAAGGTTCTGCTTTCCTGCACACCTTCCACTGCTGCCAGGCTCCCCAGAGAGGGCAATGGTCGGATACTGTATCCTGCAGCACCTCTTGGCCTCGATGCAGTCAAAAGAAAGTAAAAAAGGCCTAAAAACGTATCTGCAACAGGAAAGGTGACCAGACTGTACCCCAAGGCCCAAATAATCACTCTACAAGGTGTCCCCAGTGCCAGACAGGGCATGTCCATTCCAAATGAAAATCCTGCCCCTTGGGTGATCTGGAAAACTGGTACAGAAAATAAAGAATATATTCTTACTAGCAAGGGCAAAAGGCCACACATAGGAATTTATTGCCTTTGTGATTTTGCTCAATGAAGCATCTTGGCCTCGCTCCACATAGTTCCAGCAAGTGAGGCTGCTCAGCTCTGGCCCCTGGCTGTAGCATCTAAGGTAAATGGATACTGGTCTCACTTTGAGTGGCTACAGGTATTTGGGAGTGCACTAGCTATGGTTTTATGAGTAGATCTGCTGCTCCTGCCCAGGAGTGAGTTGGAGTGCACAGTAGGTAGCTTCACTTCAAACTAAGTTTCCATCAGTTCGGTTCCCGCCCCCCTCCAGCAGACTGTAGGCCTCAGAGAAGTCGGGTTGGGGAAATCCAAAAGTATCTTTCCAACACCAGGGAAGCACTGAGGGGGCTCTTCTTCGTGTTCATGAGTTGAAGATTCCATGATAATTTAGGAAAGGTTTCTAGAAGAAGGGAAAACCATGTGCAGGACCTAGGACCCACTCATGGTGTCACACCCACACCAGTGTCCTTACCTCTCTGGCTACAGACAGCTAGCTTCGGGCTGGCCTCCAGCTGGTGGGAGGAATTACAAAAGGACGAAATCTGTCCTACCACCCTCCAGCACTGGCCACAAGCCTGGGAAGGATGCTGTCCCGCATTGAGCAAAACAGCATCTCCAAGCGTGGACACGGAGACCGTCTGTAGTTGTACCAGACCACCATCATGGAAGCCATCAAAGGGCAGCAAGGGTACCCAGAAAAGAGTCGGGTGTCAGGCCAGGCTAGACACTGCAGATTCAGCACCCAGACACGGACAGCGCCTTGACCAAGAAACCCACAGGAGGCCCGCTTCCTACAAAAGCCATCGCCCACCGTCAAGTCTCCCAGTGAAGCCACCCTGGACCTCCACTTGCTTACGTTGCATGATGACTCCAGCCTCCGCAAAATTTCCTACACAGTGCTGGCGGGCCCTGTGGAGCCTCGGGAGCTACCAGCGCTCTAGCAAGCCTCCAGGAGCTCCGGAGCCTAGTTTACCAAGCATCCCTCTCCTCCCTTTTCCATTCTCCCCTCCCACATCTTCCTCCCAGTCTCTGCAGTCAACCCCTCCCATAAACTATCGAAAAATAAATAAATAAGCAAGTAGGTCATATCCGACCCTCCAGACTGGATAGAATCTTTTTCCCGCCTGCTCCGACTTTCTGCCAGCTTAATTGCCTCTTTCCCCGTTCTGTATCCCATCAGCCTGGAACCCAGAGACCTCGTTATTAGCCTATTCCCCAGAACCAAAGTCCTGCAAAGAGACTGGTACTATAAGAAACTGGGGGGGGGTCAAGACCCACTTTGCCCTGTAAATAGGTCTTGGCCACCAGCCTAGTTAGTGATAAGCTGTGGGTGCAGCCTCCAAGACCCAAATCAGGGGAGATGTGTGGTTCAGCATGACCCAGCCCTGGTCCCTCTGAAAGGTGGGGAGAGACTGGATGAAGGCAGCTCTCTAAGGAGACACTCTTGCACCCTGATTCTCGAGTCTCTTGAAACAGCTTCACAAGCTCCCTTCAGCTCAAGAGCCTCAGCCAGCGCAGAACTGCATAGGGTTCCCTAAACCGTTTCTGAATCACCAAGGGCTCCCTCCCTCGAGGACCAAATGCCAGGACAACACAGCTTCAGGGGTCCCACACACTTTGGTGGTTGAGGCGCCTTTGACTAGCCGTGTCACAGCCCCTCAGACATACCCTTGCCCCAATACCCTGGCTTCATCCGGCCTCCGTTCACAGGCCAGAAAAAAAAAAAACAAAAAACAAAACAAAACAAAAAACAAACAAACAAACAAAAAACCCGAGGGTATCCGGGCCTGTCCGGTGCAGCTGCTCCGTCGGGCACCCACCTCGGCGCAGGTCGGCCCTCCGTGCCAGCAACGCCAGCAGCAGGTCACCGCTCGCCGATTCCCGGGCAGGGTCTAGCTCCCCTCGAGCCTCCATTGGGCCAAGGGCCTGGTGCCGCCGCCCTCCGACCCTGAACTTCTCTTGGGTGTAGCGAGGCCACCTCTGCAGAGACTCTGAGCTGGCGTCGGAGCGACTCGTGTCGCTGCTGGGCGCTGTGCCCACGGGAGGCCTCGGGGCGCCAAGCCACGGGCCCGCGGAGGGCGGAGCGGCGGGGGGCGGGGCCGCGGGGCGGGGCTGGGCCTGGGGTCGCGGAGACGCTCCAGAAGCCACTGGAGGCTCTGTACTCCTTTGAGCCGGAACCCGAGGGGCCCAGAAGCCGTCCGGCTTGCACTTTCCAAGGATAGAGACAGCGCTGTAACCCAGTCACAGCTTCCCACAGATGCTCGCCCCTGCCCCGAAGGCTCCGGAAGGGCTGAGGTTCTGAGGGACGTGTCGGGAGGGAAACGCGTTCTTATATTGCTCACTTTCAGCCCCTTAGCCCGAGCTGGAAAGCATTGGGACCACACCTGGTCAGCAGAAGGGCAACCCGATAACCACCGCGGGAATGTGGCTGCAAAGAAGCCACAGTCTATAGAGCTGCAAGGAGACCAACTTGATGCCTGCTCTCCACTCTGACACTTCCGGACCCCACCTCTGGAACTGCTGGCTGGAGCTAGTGCAGGGAGAAGGGAGAAGGAATGATTCTTGATTCTTAGAACCTCAGGCCTGGTGTCCTCTGTGGGAACACAGAACCAAGACTGTCTAGGTCGGGAAAAGAGCCGAGGAGGCGTGTAAGCCCTGGGATCCAGCATCACTTCTTAGAACAATCCCTGCACCTGGATTCCCACATCTTGCCCCCATCAGAACAGGTGAGCCCACCAGAACCCATCCTACTCTTCATGGACCCTCACTGAGGGTTCACAGGACCCAGTCAGGAGACAGGCCTGTGCAGTCACTTGCCATAAGAAGGACCCAGCAGAGCGTAGGGCTCTGACAACTGTCTCTGTCCCTTGGACTATGTACTTTCAGAACCCAGGGTGGGAAGGATGAGTGAAAGAACACAGGCTTTTCCACCTGCTCCCTTCATGTTGCTCTGTACTTGTTATTCCAAGAAGGTCAGAGAACACCAGCTTGGAGTGAAATGGGCGCTGGGGTGAGCTGGGATGTGAGCCATTGAGTGTCAGCTGCTACAGAGGCAGTGGGGCGGGGGGGGGGGCCTGTGTAGCTAGACTAGGGAAGGGGCGGCCCCACTGCTGGGCATCTGGCTTGCCTCCAACAATGCCTCCATTATTTTCCAACGTCCATGGCAATGAAATGGCCTATTGGGGATCAGAGTTCAGGCGGGAGACTTGGCTTAGGGACCCCTGCTGTAAACCAGAGCAGTTCTAGAAGCTGGGGCATTTGATCTCTAGGGTCCATTTTGCTCCTTACTCTGCCCCTTCTTGACATCGTCTCAGGCCAGCCCCAGATCTTTGGTCACTCTTGACCCTGTGGCCTCCCTGTACCCCCTACCAGTTATCACTTCATTTCTCTGCAGCCATTCTTATGCTACTCCCTCCTAGTTCCTCCTCTGAATTCTGTCTTTTCTGTCCTTCCTGCCTTGTACAGAGGCCTCTGGGTTGCAATGGCTCTCACCTCGAGCCCTGCTGAAGGTACAGAGGGCAGCAGCTCCTGGAGCACCAGGCCCCTCTCGGTTGCAATCAAGTTCCGCTTCTAGCAGCATGGCAGTCACTACTCCAGTGGTTGGTGCAGGGTGTTCCTTGGAGTGCTGGATTTCTTCCAGGCCTTGGCCCACTCGCTGGACTGGCGCTGTCCGCGGTGCTGAAAGAGGCACTGGCGTGCTGGGGCCCTTCGCCTGCCTGCGCCGCCCCTCCCCTGTCCCCGCCCTTGGTCCCTTCCAGGCCTGGGCAGGCGGAGTCAAACTAGCGTCACTCCAGAGCTGGGTTTGACCAGTTTATGATCTGTGGTAGCCCTTTTCCAGGACTTTCCTTTACCTAACATAGTAGCATAGCAGCTCCAACTTGTTCTTCTCTGGGCTCTGGGTCTTGGCTGGAGATACCATGGTCACAGTATGCAGGTTTGGGAGCCTCAGGGTTATTAGCATGGAACTCTGCTGCCACTGCCACCCCACCCCCACCCCCTTGGGGCATACTCTAGGGCCAAAGGCAGGAACAGGCCAGGGGCCTTCAAATGCTGTTGGTGGCATTTAGAACTCCCCAAACTCAACCACCTATATCCAGTACTCTGCAGGCAGATTTTAGCTCTCCAATCCCTACCTCTGGCAGAGGGTCATGTGTGCAAAACCACCTGCTACTTCAGCACTCCTCACAGAAGCTCCCAGGTCCCTGCAGGGCAATCTGCTATACATACACTGTCCCAGGCTGACAGAGCAGGGACAGAGCAGATGGGAAACTTGATGAGAGCCTCAGCAGCTTGTGGGTTGGTTGGTCTCCCCAGGATCTGACAGCCAGGAGCACCTCTGTGAGTTCAGATCATGGCAAAGGTACACTTGTACTGATCTCTGTGCCTTATTAACAAAGGTACAGGGCCCTATAACTCTCTATCATAGTCCATTCCCATTCTTCACGTTCTGCTTGACCTCTGGGCCATCTTACCCAAAGCCTCTAGTTTATTTACACAAGAAATTCTAGCCGGGGTGGTGGTGGTGGGACGCATCTTTAATCCCAGCAGATGCAGGTGGATCTCTGTGAGTTCAAGGCCAGCGTGGTCTATAGAGTGCCAGGACAAGCTACAAAGCTACACAGAGAAACCCTGTCTTGATAAAACACAAACAAACAAACAAAAATAAATTCTACAACTTCAGAGCTGGGTCCGCAAACTAGAAGGGAACAAAGGGCTTAGAGCATTCCCTGAATCCAGCTTAACATATTGCTTTTTCACATTTCAAAACAAAAACCAAACTGTTAACAACTTTATCAAATGTCAGATTTCTTTATTCTTAAAATGTGCACAGTAGTTTACTTAAATACAAAATGTACCCTTTCTTTGCAGGTAAGAAATTTCATTGGCATTTTCATGCCAATTGGCTTTTTAATCAAAATCTTTGCATTAAAAATAAATAAACATTTAAATTACTGAACTATTATATCCGTTAATTGCAATACATCTCATAATACTTCAGACTTTAGAGGAACAGACCTTACACATTTGGCCTAAAAGTAGGTTCCAGGGCTGAGCAGTATCCTGTAGGAATGCAAGCCTTTTAACTGCAGAATGGACAGTCCAACCAGAGATGTATGTGGCAAGTTTGTCCCCCAGAAGGGATGACCTTGAACTCTACAAGCACAGCTGAAAATAGGCTCTGCCAAGGGTGGACTTCTGCAAGCATCAGCCATGTCAGGCCTTGTGGGGTACTGTGGCAGTCCTGGGGTCACAGTTACAGAAATCTCCTCAGCAATGCTCCTAGAGGCAGTTCAATGTGGGCTCAAAGCATTTCTCTTTGGAGCTGTGTTTAAAGAGGCCTAATTTTCAGGCTGATGCACCAATGGTGTCTCAATAACCTAGACACACAGGCAACAATAAGGACGAACTCATCTTTTTGTTTGTTTTTAAAAAGCACAAGATTCTAGGTTTCCCTTCTGCCACAGGAAAGTGAAGCAGGAGGTTCAAGAGGCTGGGCCCAGGCCATGTCTGTCCCAGCAGGGAGGCCTGACTGAGCCTCCCATGGGACAATAGGAGGGTTAACAACAGACCAAGGAGACAGCTGTCCATTTTTTAAGTGGCAGCAGGAACATTGATAATACAGGGTTTTAAATGATACTCATGTGATCAGCTGTCGTTGGAAAGGATGCAAATATAAAATATAGATTATGCAAAGTGGAATGTATATTTAACTAACCACCATGTCATACCCATGTGAGGACAGAGGTACACATATTCATCACATGTGCGCGCGCGCGCGCGCACACACACACACACACGCACACGCACACACACACAGCTAGCTTGCTTTATCCAAATAAAAAGAAGCTCCTGAGCCATGACGGGTCTCAGTAGAAATGTTTCCATAAATGTAGGCTTAGTCTATGTTTTTTAAAAAAAGTCTTTAGGCACAAGTTTACCATTCAGTGTTTTGGGATTTTACAAATAATATATTTAAACTGTTAAATTTTTGTTTGTTTGTTTGTTTGTTTACCCTCAAGGCCAAGAGGCTTAGTGTGCAGGGGCCATTGCATATGCTCTGAATCCTGTTCCCCTACCAATGCCTTCTGCAGTGAACATGAGACACGATAGGAACTCTAGTGGCTTCCCAGAGACTGCACTCTCCCAACAGACCAGTGCTCACCACTGTTGGGCAAAATCCCACCATAGGGACCAGAACTGCACCACGGCCTGACTGGAATGGCCCTCCTATTTACTGTCATCACCCTTCCCCTTCAGAGTCCTTAAGTGGCTCATTCCCACCATGGGTTATTTCTTAAGACATAGAGAAGCTACAAAACAACTCAGTGGCTTCTAGGCCCTGAACCCCACAAGGTGACCAGACCTCCCTTCTCAACTTCAGAGCACCCTGAGCTCCCATGAGAGCACCTGAGACTTATGCAGGAACAGCTACACAGCACATATCTGTGGCAGGGTGTGTGATATCTAGAGAGGCCTCTGTGCTTTGGCTGCTCATCACTGGACACTGCCCCCAGGGAGCCAGGGTTGGCGGGGCAAGGAGAAGGCAAACATAGATGTGGGGCCTCGTAAGAGTAGCAACATGGATGGCTATGTGCTGGACCTGCCTCCTTCTAGCCTACAAGGGCAAATACACACCAATCTGTCATGGAGGCTGGGAAGGTGAGGACAAGGTGGCAACAAGGCAAAATGTTCCAGTAAAAACAAAACAAAAAACAAAACATGCTCCTCCAGACACCATGCTGGGCACATTTCCAAAATCCCTGATCCCAACATTAAAGCTGCAGGTGTGACTTCAAAGGCTTCCTCTGTGTTGTCAAGGCTGTCCCACATGCTCTACACAGCTGGGTGGTAGAGCCGAACTTTCCATCGCTTGGACCTCACTCGAAAGAAGAAGTACATGATCATCAGGAACAAGGAGGAGGCCACATAGAGCACCACACAGAGGCTCATGTCCAGACTGGAGAAGCCAACCCCAAGGAAGGGCACAGCTGCCTTGGCCTCTTCAACTGCCTGGAGGCCCTTGGGGCTCTGGAGTCTTATGTCTAGTCTGTGGTCCAGGCTCTTGGAAAGATCAGTTCTGGGGCCCAGTATGTGGGGTGGACGGAGACTCTCGGCATCCTGTTGGATCCAGGACTTTCCTGAGGGGTTAAGACCTTCACCTTCTTCCTGTTCCCCGCCCAGAGCTCCCCGGTCACCAGGACTGCCCTGGTCCACAGAGTATGTGTCCACCAGGTTGTCCCTGCTATAGTGATGCTTCAGGAACACAAGCACTTGGTCTTCATTCCAGCTGTCCAGGCCTTTAATTTCCTCGTGGCAGGCTGGGCAGAGGTCTGGAGTGGGCCATGGAACCTTTGGAAATTTGGGATCCTCACTCAAATGGCCTAGGAGGGAGGCAAGAAGAAAACCAGAGAAACCTTTCAGCCATAGGATGCTAGATCTCACCCCACCCATCACTAGCTGTGTCCCTGCCTCCCTCCTTCCCCCACTCAGGGTACCCAGTGTGTGCTCTTTTCTCTCTGGCAAGCCCCAACACCTCCATGTAAAGGAGGGACTCTGAATTCTGGGCTCTACTTGCCACTCAAGCGACTGCACTCTGTTGTAACCCACCTAGACCCTTCCTCTGTCATGGGTCCATGAAGTTCACACCTCTGTGTCTCATCCCACCCCTTTGGTTTTTTAAGACAGGATTTCTCTATATAATAGCCCTGGCTGTCTTGGAACCCAACCCCTAGGCTGGTGGCAGGAATGGAGAGCAGGTAAGGAATCTTATGAATAACATCACACCAGGCTACACAGCCCCTTCCCCCTGTGGCAGTTGGGGACAAATGACAGCAGGGCCCCTGGACTGGTCAGGCCCAGCTGGTGCCTTATTCTGGCTGCCTCAAAGCCAGGCGCCTGGGGTGTGGGGAGGTGAAGAGGTGGGAGGGAGACAGGGAAGGCATTAGGGAGAAATCCCTACACAAGGGCCACTGTCAGCGCCTTGAGACAAAGCAAATCCGCTACACGAACAGCACCGTCTGCTCCTGGTGCCAAGAAAAACCAATTTTCTTTAGTGCTTTAGTTGTAATATGTTTTATAATACAGCGGATTAAACAAAAACCAAGAGTTTAGTGACATTTTCTGTTCATCTCTATTAAATTCATTTCTCAGTAGAATTACTCTTAAGCCTAATTTTAATCTGCCATTGATTTTGGAATAGCAGAAATTACTTAACTCTGACAGACTACATGTGCCCTCTATTTTGTTTTCTTAAAACAAAATCACTTTGTGAGGTTTGCTTAACAATCTGAGATTTGTGTGTACATATTTGTGTGCATGTGTTAGTGTGTACACATTCTGGAAAAGGCCAGAAGTGGACACAGAGGATCTTCCTCAGTTACTCTCTGAGACTCTTACATTCTGAGACAGGGTCTTTCATTGAACCTGGAGTCCAGAATTATAGGTATGTACTGCTACACCCACATTTTTTTTTTTTTTTTTCAAGACAGGGTTTCTCTGTGTAGGCCTGACTATCCTGGAACTTCCCCTGTAGACCAGGTTAGCCTTAAACTCACAGAGATCCTCCTACCCCAGTCTCCTGAGCCCTGGGATTAAAGATGTGCACCACTACCACTAGGCCCAGATTTTTTTAAGAGATCAACTCAAATTGAACTAAATCTCCAGCCCCCAGGAACAGATTTTAAAGACAGTAAAAATGTTTAACAAAATTTCTGTAGGTTGTAGGTTTTTTTTTTTTTTTTTTTTTCTCAGAGTTTTCAGAATTACTGGTGGTAAAGTTGGGGAGGGAGCATTGAAAAGAGATATGGGAGAAACAAGAGCCCCGTCAGTGTCTACAAGGGCCAGGAGCTCCAAAGCCAATGAATGGCCTGTGTGGCCAGTGGCCTGAGACACCCAGAACAATGGCAAGAGGGAACAAACATTACTGTCCCCAAACACACTGACCAGGGCACTCTTGACAGCGTTGAAGTGGGTTGGACCCTCCAAATCCAGGCTCAAGGTGTGTGCTTGATAGTGTCAGGACAGCAAGGAGCATGGGGGCTCTTACCTGCCAGGCGGCTGTTCACCATGTTGTGCTTCTTCCAAAGCCAGAGAACAGCTTGGTCTGGAGTTTTCACAGAATTCATGGATTCCTTAGCCATTTCCTCAAAGTGCTCACCACATTCTTTGCAACCAAAGAATGTGTTAATGTATCTCCTTATGGTCTGTAACACAGCCTGGGGGTCATCTTCAAAACCTGCAAAAGGAAGAAATCTATCAGTGCTGCGAGCCTATGGATCACCAAGCCCTAGACCTGTCAGATGGGTCAAACAGGAAAAGACTCAGGTAGCATCCAAGAGCATGGACTGGCTCCAAGTGTCCCCACAGAGAAGAACCCATGGCATGGGTTCCCCAGATACCATACTGCATCTAGAAGTGGAAGGCTGCTCCCACTGCATGAGGATAGTGGAAACCACACTGAGCACATATCATTAGTATGGGCATTCCATACTAGTATGGCTAGTACCAAGAGGAACAAGCCCCAATAACTCAGATGCCTCGACCCTCATAACCCTTTAAAGGGATGTTCTAACACTCTTCGACCATGCTACTGGTTGTCCTTGTCCTTGACCTCATGATCCATAGGGCAACCTAGTCCTAAAAGGGTATGTTTTCCTTAGGATCTGCCACTCTGCCAGCTGTGTGCACTCTCCTGCTTTGTAACCCCGGAAAGTGTTGCTTGTGGAGACGAGGCTGTCACTCTGAGCCCAGATCCAACCTGCTCCAGAATCCACAGAACCAGGTCCAGGAGCAAATATGGCTGTATACAATCTTCCCTGAGCAGAAGATGGGCAGCAACAGTTACCAGCTGCTGGGGCTCCCTCTTGGAGGATGAACAGGAAGGCAGATTGGCAAAGTCTGCACTCTTTCAACAGGACTGGGCCTCTCCAAATGGTAACAGTTTTATTCTTTTAAACAAACGTTTCAATTTTTGGAAACAGGGTCTTGCTTTGCCACCGTGGCTGGCCTTGCAAAAGAGCTCAGGTTGGCCTTGAATTCAAGGCTATCCTCCTGCTTCAGTCTCCTGAATATTCGAATTATAGGATTATAAAACCACCACATCTAACTGGTGGAGGTTTTTGTTTGTTTTGTTTTGTTTTGTTTTTTTTTTTGAGACAAGGTTTCTCTGTGTTGCCCTGGTTGCTCTGTAGACCAAGCTGGCCTCAAACTCAAGAGATCTGCCTGCTTCTGTCTTCTGAGTGCTGGGATTAAAGGTGTGTGTCACCACTACTGTGCTGGTGGTAATTTTAAAATACAACAGTGAGCATCTAGGGCTACAGTTCACAGTAAAATAGGGGCTTATAGGATAGGAGCAGCAGACATGAAGGGGATACAGCATTTTCAGAAGGCAATCCATCTCAAAGGCAGACGCAAACAGCCAGAGCCAAGCAACCCAACCACACAGGGCTGGGCTGCATCCCAATGCAGATGAACATGCAAGTAGGGGACCAGCACCACAAACAGGCAGCAAAGTGACAGAACAGAAAATGCATTTCTCACTAGGGAGGGAGTCTTTCCATCCAGAGCAGCCTGCATAAGAGTTTGCTTCTCAACAGGCCCTGACCCTGGTGTCTGTCAATAAAAAGATCTTGGGCATGGGAAGTTACACTAGGACCTTTATATCTGGGAGGTAAATTTCTGCTGGCCTTGAGTATGCCCATGGGCAGCTGGGCAATGTCTGGTGAGAGACACTTGCTATTCTTGTGAGCAGCCTGCTTGGCCTCCTCTCCCTACCAGATCTCCAAACATCTGCCTCACATCACAGTAATCCCTCCTCTTGCCCACCAAACCACTGCTCACTCCAGCCCTAATCTTTAAAGTGGACAAGAACCATAAACCACTACCTGGGGGAGGGTTTATAGTCAGCACTTTAGTAGACGGGTTTAAATCAGCAGCGAGAAAAGAAAACCTCAGAGACTTAATCCTGTTCCTGGACTGACCCAATTCCATTCGCAAGAGACTACTCTCCTCAGGGGTGCATCAGGCTGTGTTCATGAGGAGGAGAGAGGGCTGCAGCTGCCTGCCTGAATGTGGTCTGTCATGCAGACATCAAGTGTGTGTCCTGAACTGTCTTTAAGCATCCCCCACCCCCCACTGCACAAATCAGCATGCTGAGGAGCTATAGCACAGCAGGAGCATGGTGAGCCAGCACTTACTTCCTTTTCCACACTACTTTCTCCACAGACAAGGGCCCTCTGGAGTCAGCCTGTTTCAGGAGTAGTCCTGACACTCAGTGCCATAAGGCTGACCTCAGTGTCTGAACGTTTCTGGGTTTCTCCCTGGCGTGTGCTCCTCTTCCTTCTGATTTCCAGGGGAATGTGCCTGTTAAGACTAACCCTCTCCCATCCTAGACACACCCTTGTGCTTCTAGGAAGAGGTGGGTCCACTTCCTTAGCTCCGAGTTCAGTCTGTACAAATGATATGGCTGAAGGACGACCTGCCAAGGGCTACAGGGTCCTTCCTTATCTTGGCACCACCTGGTAGAAAGCTGAGGCTGGCCTGCAGGAATGAGTTAATTTAAGCCGCTCCCAGCCCCCATCCCATCCCACCCTGACGGCCAACTACCAGCAGACACCCACACAAACAAGCCCATGCCTGGGAATAGAAGAATCATGCAGCCTAGCCAGACCCATCCAAACATGAACAAGTAAGATGGTGGGAGTTTGACAACACTACCTAGTTATAAGAATTTTATGATGCTACTGGAAAACATACTTGGTCAACATGAATAGACCAAACAGTCTAAAGCACAAGAGTTGAAAGACAAACAGGCAGCCTCTGGAAATGTCCCTGGTCCTTGCCTCTGAGACTCAAGACTCACAGGTTCTTGTTCCCTTGTGAGTAGAGAGAGATAACAGAAGTGATGGGTGCTGCTCTTCTGCTGGTTCCCAGGATGTGAATGGACCTCAGAGGAGCAGCCAGCAGGCACTAATAAAGCTTGGAAGCAGGTTGAAATGGGTCTTATTAACTTGAAGCTGAGGAGCCAGGGTAGGCCACATTCAGATTCCTGACCCACAGAAACTGTAAGACTATGAAAGAAGGATTTGTTTGTTTGTTTTTAAGATTTATTTGTTTAATGTACACTGGTGTTTTGCCTGTATAAACTCTGTGAGGGTATTGGATCCCCTGGAACTGGAGTTACACACAGCTGTGAGTCATCATGTGAGTGCTGGGAATTGAACCCAGGTCCCCTGGAAGAGTAGCCAGTGCTCTTATCTACTGAGCCACTTCTCCAACTAGAAAGCAGGATGTCTTAAGCTGCTAGAACAAATGACAAATATACCTCACTAAACAGAATTACTTGTCTTATTTTTCCTGAGTAAACCAAGGTGAGTTTTCATTACAAAGATTTCTGGTTTGTCTGTCTTCTCTGTGGCTCCTTTTTAATAAGGCTGTTGTGGCAAAGGGTATGGAACTCTCCCTACTGCCTTCCACATAGAGGCAGATTGTGCTCATGGTGTCTGCATTCTGAAATGCTCACCTCCAGACTTATCATGTCCCCTGTCCCGACATCTAGAAGACTGGCACTTCATAGACAGCAAAACAAAATCTTGTAGGTACTTTCTGTAGCACATGCCACGCACTGGACCTAGACAGTGAATGCAGAAGGCCACTCATGCCAGCTCGGTTAGGCAGATGGTTACCTGTGCCAACCAGTGCTTCTGGATGGGTAGAGGCCTGAACCGTCAAAGTGTGAAACAGTTTCCAGAGGGAGCATGGGTAGCCCCTCAACTCCAATCGGCTTCCTTGACATCCCACCCACTTTATGTGGCTGGTAAGAAAGATTCCAGAAATCTGAGGGGAAAACATCCACAAAAAATACAAGACAAGTGTTAAAATTAACACTAGTTGAGAGATGTCTTAGGCCTTGGTTGGGGAGATGATCATACAAGGGTATGTATTTATCAAAGCTTCTCAATGCCTGCCTATAATCTCAGCACTTAGAAGGCTAAAACTGGAGAGTCTCAAGTTTGAGGCCAGCCTAGACTACATGAGAGACCTACCTATCTCAACAACCAAGTAAAAGGATCAAATAACAATGTAAAAACCAAAAGCCCTGGGTGCTGTGATGTTTGAGGGCAGCTTTCACAGTGTGTTCTTGGCGAGCTGTCCTAAAACTGAAGCCTTCAGTGTAATCTACCAGCATCACTGAGGTAAGGAAATGGGCATGAAGTCATCATAGAAATGTGAACAGCAAAATTTGTGAGGCTTCTTTATCCAGGGACATGGCTTTTCTACCGGGAGAGGGGGTTTCTCTAAGCAGGAAGATGGGACCTGTGCTGTGGGAACCAAGTACTGACAACGAAACCAGGGAGAAACCACAGATGAGTAGATTTACTCTTCCTTTCTGTGGACTTTGGGTCTTGGGCCTGAGCAGGAGGAGGAGACATGCTGGTGAAGAAAAATGGAGGATTTACACTAGACCTGGCCAGGGCTGGGACTCACCCGCATTTTGTTGTTGACTAGGTCTAAGATGGCATTGTACGGAATCTTGTCCAGGGGGAGGTTGGCTAGCCATTCCTGCAGTGTCTCCAGAAGCTTCTTGACTGACGGCCGGCCAGGGAACAGCTAAGAGAGGAAAGAACCCTTTAAGATATTGAGAAAAATTTCCACCGCCTCCCAAGGTCTGAAAGCAGTATGGAAAGTTGCGACCGTGTGGCCGAGTCCACAAGCAGGGTCAAAGCCCCACACCACACACAGTCCTCTAAGGAAATGGATTTAACCTTAGGACCAGCCTAAAATTGGGGGTTCTTCAAGAACTAAGGAATAGCAGATAGCTCTTTTACAATGTCAGACAGGGAGACTACTGAGTATGGTATATCACCAAGTTATCAAGGGCTCAGTGGTCCTTCAGAAGGCACTGCCTGCATACTTATCCAGTCTTTCTGCAATTCTTCAGTTCCAACAGCCTGTCTTATTGTCTCTAACCAACTGCCCTACAAGATGTGTGGGAACAAACACCTATCATAGGCAGGAATGACATGTAGCCTAGTGGCTGACTCACAACACAAGAGCCTGGAGAGCAAGGAGCTAAGAGAACCCTGGTGGTTTTGCTCTCCTTAGGTAGCATATTGTTCTCTTACTACATGTGCAAAAAATAAAGGCTGCTTTGGCTATATTTTTATGCATTGCTTACAAAGTAGCACCATCAGTTAATCAGCATTTAGTTTGTTCTTAAATGTTTAAGTAAATATTACAACAGTAACTTTTTGTCATGATTTAAGGAGCTGTCACCATCATATGACACATCCTCAAATACCAGAGCTAGCTGAAAGAAGGGTAGGAAGGCAATATACAGAGAGGCATACCCGCTGAGAGAAGGTTAATTCCTGCAAGCCAACAATTTTAGCCTGGGTGTGTTTGCTGGCTAGAGGTCATTCCAGGGTGGCAGGTCTAGTGAGACATATAGTTAGTTTAGCTGAACATTTTTTGTTTGGGAGGCGGGGTCTCTCTATGTAGCCCTGGCTGACCTGGAATTCAATAAGTAGAGACTAGGCTATTCTTAAACTTGCATAGATCTGCCTGCCTCTGCCAGCAGAGTGCTGGGATCAAAGGTGTCTGCCACCACATCTGGCTGGACTCACTTTTAAAGAACAAAGTCATCCAGTGCCATCTCAACCTTAACCAGCACAGTGTCTAAAAACTTACCTAGCAGTTTGAAATATCTGACCCATTATTCCTTGAAACATAAAGCTTATTTCCTTTGTTTTTCCAAAGTTACACTATAAATGAAAATATTTACAATCTACCTACCTGGACAAAAGCAATCCTATCAAGGGACTTTCCATTTAGTGAAAGAAGGCATGTAAAATACCTTGCTTCATCCATACACAGTAGGTAAAGTGGGTCTAACACTGCACTGGTGCTAATAGTGGTGGTGGAGTATTCAGCAGGCCCGAAAGCAGGACCAGAGCTAGACCAGATTGGGCTGTTGCAGCCAACAGGAGAGCTCAGGCTCACCCCTGAAGGGCACAGCAACTCCCCCTCTGTAGCTCTGGGCACTGGAGGTGAACACTTGGCAGGAACTAACCCTGACACTTCTTACTCTTACATCAGCTACCAGAGCAGTAGCTTGTACCCTGTACTACATACACATCACCAAGGTGGAGGTGGCCCCAGCCCATCTAGGTCTTCTGAGTATGTCAAGTAAGCTGCTTGGTCTTTTCCTGGACTTCTGCCTGCTCCTTTCCACCCTGCCCAGCATTAGTCCTGTTCTTCAGGAGCCAGCCATCTGAAGCTGTCAGCTTAGGACTTCTCTTCCAACCCCTTGGGAGCCCTATCAGGGCCAGAATGGCCATAGAGCACACACCTGCCACACCTAGTGGCCTTCTTGCATTAGCTTTGTTAGGTATCCCTTCATCTACCGCTTAATTCTGCTCAGCACCTATGCATGGTGCTAATTTCCTCACATGGCTACTAAGAGACTATGGCTATGCTGGCCGGTCTTCTTCAACCTGATTCTGGCATGGAAGGACCTAGGCTGTACTGTGTCATGACTTGGCCTTCCCTTGGACACCTAACTCTCTTGGAACCCCATTCTGACGCTGCATAGAAGCCAGTCCCCACCTTTGATATTTGCACAACCTACCCATTCTTCATGCTTCATCTACTTTCCCTCAGTCTGCTGAACTGTCCCTAGTTGAAGTGGGGAAATCAGAGCTCAACAGTGCTCTGCTCCTGTTCTCAGCTCCTTTTGCCCTGCCCTCACAGGCAAATATCAGTCAATACCAGCAAATGCCAATTAATACCAAGGGAACTAGACTAGCTAACTACCCGCATCAGCAGACAGATGACCCAAGCCCATACTAAATGGGGCCTAGTATCACAGCCTGAGCAGAGGCACCCGCACCTTGGCAATGACAGTCATGAAGTCCCTAAATGTCTTTAGCTGGGCTCCAGCCAGGGACCTGTGGGCAGCCAGCTCCACTCTCAGCAGGTAGTGAAGTCCTGACTCCAGGTCTGCAGTGTACAGCTTGGCCCTGAGAGGAACAAGGAAGAGTTAGGAAGGATACGTGCTGCCTTCTGTACAAGGCCCCTCTTGTTTCTACCACCATCCCGGATAGGAGGCAGACTGAGGAAGTAGCCTCTCTGCTGCATCCAATCCCATTCATACTTGCCTGTCAAATTCTTTCCAAACCACAACCTCTGAATTTTCTTCTTTGTCGGACTTTTCAGGGAAGGAAAGTGACCTTTTCCTCACATCTGGCAAGGATTTTAAGTAAGAGGAGAAAAACGATCGTAGAGGCTTTGCACTGTGAAAGGAAGGAGGGGATGCTTTTATGGATGTCCTCTGAGATCATGTAGCCTCTCACACACAATTCACCCTGTGCACACACTGACAGAAGTAGTGAAGGACACTCACCTTAGCTCGGCCTCAGGAGCTACCCTGCCATCTGAGATGAGAAGACAGAATACCAAGTCCAGAGAATCATGGACATAGCTACAGTAAGTACCACAGCTCATCCACAATTGCTGGGACAGTAAGATGCTTGTAAAGCCATCTGAGCATCTGCCAAAACTAATTTCATCCCAGCTATGATTCCACCCTCCATACAGCTGAAGGTGTATGGAGGACTAACTGAGACTTTGGGAAGGCTCTCCTGCAGTTTAGAACCTCTGCTAACTTTCACATCTATTTTGCTTTCTAAAGCTTTACTCAAGGTCACTTTATTGACCTGGTGCCTGGTGGCCATGCCCATCTCTCAGTCTAGACAGGGCTTGCCTGCCACAACAGACACAACCAAAAGCCCAGACCTAGCACAGGAGGGGTTGATGGGCACTTGAGGTTTGTGCAGAAACCCATGGAAACAACAAGAGGCAATGACCACTCCAGATCCTGGAGCTTGGAACATGATCACAACAGGTCAGGGAAGGTGGTCAGACATATGGCTTCCTTGCATTTTGAACTCATCTGTTACGTGGATTCTGAGGCTTTATCCAGTATACCCATGAAGCATGAGTTTCCACAGACCTTAGTGAATGTATCTATACAATTATACAAACTAGTACTTACACATTAACCAGTCCATGAGACCCATTTGGGTAAATCAAGTAACAGGAAGGAACTGAAGAAATTCCAAGTGTCCCCAGAAATGCTTTGTCCCTATCCAGTGCTCGGCTCACCACGATGTTGTCATATGGAATCAAATCTAAGATCACCTGCAGAACAAGAAGTCATGTTACCTTCATGCTTTTCTTGGAAAACATCCCAGAGTGTGTATACTCACTAATTCACAGGCCACCCTTCACCTAACCTGTGCTGAACTGTTCAGAGACTAGCACTGTCCACCTGTACCACACAACATGGTAAACCTTGCTCTACTTGCAAACAGCTGGGTGGTGTGACATGCAGTTGCATCCCTCTGCAATCAAAAGCAGCCTGTGTACCTTAATTTTTGCTGACTTTTAAGCAGCTCACAAGTCACATGCCCATTCTCATTTAGCAACTTTCTAGAATATCAAAAGTAACATTTGTTGTTTGTGAGTATGCATTCATGTGTGTTCAGGTACATGTGTGTATGTAGATGCATGTGGAGGTTAGAGGACAACCTATGGTGTCATTACTCAGGTACCATCCATTTTGTTTAATTAGCCTGGAGCTTACCAAGAAGGCAGGCTGGCTGGTCAGCAAACCCCAGAGATACACCTACTCTGTCTACTGCTCACTAAAATTACAAGTGTGTCAATGGGGATGGAATCCTAACGCTTGCAAGGTAAGCATTCTATGCGCTGAAGCATTAAGTAACCCAGCCCCAAAAGTAACAATCTGTTACTAAACTTTTCCTTTCTGAACCAGTTTGTTGGCTATAGAATCTACATGAATTGAGTAAGCACCTTCACCACTCATCAGCTACAACCCTGTTTTCCCAACACACTGGCTATTGTGTGTTCATATTTCTGGGTTAACTGGCAACTCAACATCATTTCAGCTCTGACTCAGAAGGTTTGGGGTGGTTCCTGCAAGTGACTTGTACCCGTTGGGCTTGCTTACACTGAAGGAGCTGTAGTGGGTCTTAGTGACAGAGAAACCATGGCTATGATATCCCAGTGTCTAAAAAAAACCCTCATGCATTTATCACATGGCAAGTGGAGTCTGTTGTTCTCTGCTGCTCTTAGATGTCTATCAAGACAATTACTTCCAGGGATGAAGAACAGACTACATGTGAGGTGGATTTCAGTGAGTGGTTCAAGCTGATCTTAAACCCAGAGATGTGCCACTTGAGTGCTGGGATTAAAGGTGTGTGACACTACATTGGCCACAATGGTTCTCCTTGATACTGACTCTTAGGGCACTCTTGGTTACATGTCCTACTCAGAGGGCCAGGCCTTACTGACCCCAAGGGCTTGATAGATATGCTGGTACTGTGGAGAGAGGATGACTGGCAAGAAAATGGGCCTTCTGTTGTCTTTTCAGGGACAAAGTCCTGTTTTTGGTTTATAAGTGTACAGCCTGGAAGTCCTGGCATGCAGTGCCTCTGGACAGTAGGGAAAGGAGTTGAGCATAAATGAGTTCTGGGTTCTACTGCTTCTCAGTCCTTTGACTGAGAATCCTGCCAATAATGACAAAAGGATAAGATACATCATGGAAACCAAAAGAGAGGGAGTGAGGTCCCAGAGGGCAGCCAGGCACATGTGGTTAACTGTAGCCTGCCTGATACCTTCCATCGAGGGTCCATCAAGGGCAGTGTTATTTCCTCCTTCCTGAGCTACCCAGATAACCTGCAGAACTGTACTAAAGCATCAGGGTCAGTGCTGAATTCCCATGTGGGCCAAGAGGCTTCCGTCTTGTCATTAAGGGACCCTGACATTAGCAACTAGGTCTCTGGCCCCTTGGTTTGATACTTGTTCAACACTGAAAGCTTCTGAACTACCCACTTGACACCAACCTTTCATAAAAGAAACAAGGTCCTACAGACTCCTGAATGTGGTAACATAGAACACAGGAGATCTATAATAATACTGATTGAAGATATAGCTGTGGCTGGACCCTCAAAGCAGTCCTGTCAATCTAGCATTTTCTGCTATATATAAGTCAGTGACTTAGGATCTCTGTAACTAACAATAGCTCAAGGCTCACTGATTGCTGCCATTAATGTACTAACAACAGTCTATCCCAGCCACACTAGCTGCAGCCCCAGAGCACATAAGACACAGTACCTCTCGTCCAACATAAGAACCATTGCTTTCAAACACAACAGCATGGTATTGGCCACTATGGCTGTCCATGAGGGAAAGGATGTCACTGGGCCTGTCAGGAGAAAGCAAAACCCTCAATGCTCTCCATGATAGCAAGCTGTCACAGCATGCCAGTACCTCGGTCACTGTACACACTGAGATTTTTAAAAACCATGCCCAATATGCACCATGCAACTTGGGGAAAGGGATGAACCAGGGCTTCCCATTTGCTGAACTCTACCACCATGATACTCTAGACCCCAGAGGCCACCTTTCAATGGAGCTACTCACTGAACAGGGTCCAGGGGTGGGCACGCAGGAGGCCGAGTGCCCTCCGTATGGTTCTGCAGGAAGTCAATCATCGTCTGCCTGACTGTCCGAAGCTCTCTGTCAGGTCCTACAAAAGCAAATTGTATGGCTGTGGCTGCAGGTATATGTACCTAACCAGCTCCCAAGCCCAGAGCCCAAGGATAGTGAAGGCAGCAGCACCATTCACAAAACCCTAGGTGCACAGCTGCTCACTGACAGGTGTAGTGTGGTCAGCGCAGATGCATACAGTAGGAGAGCACACAGCTGAGAACAAGTGATAGGGTACTAGATACATGGCAAAGGGACAAATCTCATGCACACTGCACACAGTGGTGAGAGGTGGCTAGGTGCACAAACCAACTCCACATACATTGCTAACACTGGCAGAAGCCAGAAATGTCAGGTGTCTCCTTAGGGGGACAAGCCTGTGAAACAGTCATCTGGTCTTCACTAGGGTATTAAACACCTGGCCAGCCTCACACATTAAAATGTATGAGCAGAGCCCTGTATTTGCATATAATCCACTAGATACTTTTTCAATAAAAGTTTGCTACCACATGAAGGTGAGAAAGGGACCTGCAGGTAACAGGGGGTAGGGCTGGAAAGGTGCAGGGTGAGAATGACCAGAATGGAGGAAATACATGTATGAAATAGCCAAAGGACAAGCTTAATAAAAATTACAATAACAAATTTACTACCACATTTCCCAAGAAGGGCAAAGCACAAAATAAAGAATTTTCTGTGGCTGGAAATATGGCTTAAAGGATGTATGTTCTTCCAGAGGACCAAATTCAGTTCCTACAACCTATGTCAGATGGTTCACAACCTCCCGTAATTCCAGTTCCAGGGGAGTCTGACACCTCTGGTCTCCAAGGACAGCCAGCCAGGTGTTTGTACACACACACACACACACACACCACACACACACACATAAAATTAAAAAAAAAAAAAATCTTAGTTGGGCAGTGGTGATTCATGCCTTTAATCCCAGTACTTGGGAGGCAGAGGCAGGTGGGTCTCTGTGAGTTTGAGGCCAGCCTGGTCTAAAGGGTTAGTTCCAGGACAGCCAGGGCTACACAGAGAAACCCTTACTTGAAAAACAACAAAACAAAACAAATCTTATTCCCACAATGTGGGGGTGACTTGCTTTTTCTTTCTGACCTTCAAACAGGCTTTATTTGTACAAGCAAGATATCACCACACCACACAAAGTTTGAATTTTTTTTTAATAGGAAGTCAGGCAGCACCAGAGCAAATATGCTCACTGAAGGGAGGAGGCCTTGGGTCCATCTGCAGAGACCATATCCAGTTTCCCAGGTTGAATGAGTCAGTGTATGGGGTTAGAATAGAATGCTGTGTGTCCTTACCTTTAAAATTTTCTCCAGTTGTAAACTCCTTTGTAAATGCTTTAAAATACTGAAGGAAAAACACACACACAAAATAAGAAACAGCCTGGATGAGTTGTACATATGTTTAATACTTAAACAAGATGACCACTGTCTCAACCAGGAACTCTGGTCAAGTCCCTCCCAAAGTAACACTGACTAGACAAGACATGTTCCATGCCTCCAAGGACACCAGTGTTCCTGCAAATGTGTGGGACATTGTGCTACTGGGTTTTATTATGTCACTTCTAGTCCAACAGGACTAGACAACTCACTAGGGTGGGATCCTTACAAAGGTGGTGTCCCTTGAAGAGCATTTGAGGGCACTGGTTCCAAGCAAAGAGGGGCTACCCAAAGCTTCTGAGAAGACAAGAGCTTCTGACCAGACCTGCCCCACCAGAAGCACATCGATACAGTTGAGGATAAGTAGTGTTCCCAACCAAGCCCAAAAGGAGACCAGTGCTGAGACACACAGGGGACTCCCTGGGACCAAGTGGGGGAAGCAGAAGCACTCAGGAGGAAAGTGGACAGATATATGACAGTCCCATAAGAATAAAGATACAGATGTGCTTGTCACCAGGAAAACAGGGAACACATGCACTTTGCCCTGTACCGTGGGCAGATTTGTCATGTTGTGGGAGGGGCTGGCCCCAGTGGGTCCCTTGGCCTTCCCAGCCAGGGAAACGTGTGTGTGTGTGTGTGTGTGTGTGTGTGTGTGTGTGTGTGTGTGTGCGTGCGCGTGCGTGTGCATGTGTGTGTGGAGGGCCCTCACAGCAATATTGGTCCATGAAATAAAAGTCAGGAGATATCCCAGTACTCAGCAGAAAGGGCCCTCACATTCAATGAGGCATTACTGCACAGTCAAACCCAATGAGCCACAGCAGTGCCCAGCATCATGGGCACATTTTAGTAAAGTCATTTGAAGTATTAGAAAGAAGGCCCAGACATTTACACAGAACACTGTTTAATAGAGGGTATGAAGTTAAAAGCCAAGTAAAAGAGGGACACATGTGACATTATCAGCTCAAGGCTAGAGAACAAGCAACAGGGGCCTGTGAATTCCCTGGGGTTGGTACCACACTGGGAAGCCAGGTGGTCACAGGGTGGCAAAGCTCAATCAATGGACGGGTGGGAAAACACAGGGGACACCACTATGCTGGGTCCTGTCTCTGACAGTGCACAGTACTAGCAGGTCAGAAGTGGAGGCTGGGGTCACAGGCTCTTCAGAAATTATCTCTAAGTTGGGCAGTGGGGGCTCACACCTTTAATCTTAGCACTTGGGAGGCTGAAGCAGGTAGGTCTCTGAGTTCAAGGCTAGCCTAGTCTACAAAGTGAGTTCCAGGAGGGCTACACAGAGAGAAATCCTGTCTCAAAAAAAAAAAAGAAAGAAAGAAAGAAAGAACAGAAAAAGGATTAGGAGGAAGAAGAAAGAAGAGGAGGAGGAAAAGGAGGAAAAGGAAGAAGAGGGTGACACATGGTTTTGGAGATGCCTGTGAGTGTAAGACATTCAAAGGCAAGCACATGGCCACACATTCATGCACATACTAAGCAGTGGGCCTTCCGCAGGGTCGCAGGTAGTATCTCTGCCCTCTAGTGGAAGAAACATCTACAAGTTTGTAGGCAGGGCCAGCTGCAGCCTAGGTTGTGCTGGGGGAGCCACTTTCAACACCGCTGGTGCCTTCTGCCAGTAAGAGGAGACCAAGCAGCATAATACCCCGCGAAGATAGGCAGCCAACAGGCTTTTGTGTGAGCAGGGACTTCATACAGCACCTGGTTCTTGATCAACCTTCTGTGACTCAAGATGAGGAACAAAGGCTGGGTATGCAAATTCCCACAAAGTTTTCAGACTTCAAGCCAGAAATGATAACCTAGGAGTTACTAGTTCTGCCTAAAAAGCCCCTTCTGGAAAAGGCAGGACTGGAGCAGAGGACAAGGTTTTTGGGGGCTCACCCTGAAGGTGGGGTAGAAGTGGATGTCATATGTGCGGCACACGTCCTGGTTCTTTTCTTCTGCACAGTCCAGAGCAGCAACACGGATGGCAGCAGCCCAGTCTACAAGGCAAGAATGGAACCTTGAGCAGAGTTGCCGGCACCAAGCCATACCATCCAAGACAGCATCTGCATGAGCGCCAGCTGCCCCAGTGAAATCCCTGTGCTCCTCCCTTAAGTTGTTCATGAGCTCTGTGCTGAGCTGGGAAAGCAGAGTAACATTTCAACCAAAGCTAGTGGTGTCTTCCACTACTGTTTCTCAGTAGAAAACAGATTTTTGCTGAATTTTCAAATCAGCAGCTTGCTATGCAGCAAGCATCTCCTATTACAAGACAGCTGATGGGTGGAAGTGCAGCAACCTGAAGCATTGTCTGCAAAGATACCAAGTAGAGCATGCAGTGATCAGACAGACCTGGTGGGCCCAGCAACCATTTTCCAAGTCAGGCCAGTGGTCTGCACTGGTAGCACCCTGCCCCCCCCCCCAACTCCATCTCACCCTCAGCTACCCAGGGATGCATGTGCAATTGTTGCAGAACATGAACACTTTTAGATCTCCTTTCCAACAAATGCACACAACACACACACATACATGTACACACACAACCAGAAAAAGTCTAACACTTTGTTTTGGTGTCAGTAATTACCAGCTCTTATGAAAGGTATTAGCCAAATCCCTACCCAGTTCTATAACTCAGGAAGCAACCTCAGATCCAAAACATCAGTCATAAATCTTCCTGTGTTTTTTAGTCCAACACACTGCCATGTCCACAGAAAATGACTTAGGCTCCTAATGCCATTAGGCAACTAGTTGGAACAGCTCCTCCCACCCTGCTCACATCTGACACTTTTCCTAGACCTCCTGTTAAATGGGTATAGGTAGAGTCTTGCTGGGATTAGTTTTAAGAAGTGAAGTGTAAACCAGGTGCAGCTTTAATCCCAGCACTCTAAAGGCACAGGTAAGTAAACCTCCAAGTTTGAGGCTAGCCTAGTCTACAGAGAAAGTTCCAGGACAGCTAGGGCTACAGAGGAAACCTGCCTCAAAATAAACAAACAAAAAAGTGAAGTGTGCTTCTGCAGGAGTAGAAGGGGGGAACTTGGCCCTGCCCTCATCATTATAATAGATACACATTAGGTCAGGGCTCTTCTCTGCCTTGCCCTCTGGTCACTAGCATCAGGTGCACCTTTAGGAAACTGCAGGAGGTCTTTCTAAGAGAGGTGTACCCTTTCTCCAGGGTATTAAAATTACACCATTATGCATACTTCCAAGCATCTGGTCCTGCAGGGATCCTATCTAGGCCCAGGCCCAAGAAGTGCTAGGCTTGCCTGGTGGGCTGCGCATGATCAGCAGCACAGCATAGCTCACAGGCGTACAGTATAGGTAGGGAAACAGGCATGAGAGACAGACGAGCCCCCTGGGCAACTCTGTATATGCTCTATCTGGAAGCCGCTTGATTTCTGGGCAGGAGTGCATACAGGAGGTTACTGGTGATCAGTGTGTTTTGTATTGCTAGTGTTATTCTGTCTTCACCAGCAACCTAGCTAAAAGTCATGTGAAACCATTCCTGTAAGGACAACTAATGTTCAAAAAACCTCAGAGACTATGCATGGGGATCCCTGGACTGAAGGGGCAGTGTCAGAGGACACTTACCAACACCAGGTGCCAGAGTTCAGTGACTGATATTAGGAGTAAGAAACAAGAATAGGTCATTCACAGATAGTAACCAAATACTGTTGGCTATGAAAAGCCAGCTCTGACCCAGGGCCACTTTAAAAGCACAGAAGTAAACTCCAGTATTTCTGAATCAAAGTCATAGCTTCCTGGAGTCTCAGATGGCACAGAACTGAGGAAGAACAGTTAATACTCCATCCAGTTAGGGGCAGATGGCACAGAAGGCACTCCGAGGCTCAAGGTGCTTCAAGGGCAAATTCACGCCCTGCATCTGGCACAGCTGCTCGGTCCTGCCACCCTAATTTGTCTCACAGACCCAACCAATTCACTCTGCTCACTGGGTGTTTCCACCCACAATTTCCTTCCATGTTCTAGAAAAGCACCTTCTGCCTGAAAAGAGTGTAACAGAGAAAACCTCCAAGAGTAAAATGCAGGAACTAGTCTCCCAGTTAGCTGAAATAGCAAACCCACCCAGAACTGGGATGAATGCATCTAGGTTTGCTGGTGGGGTCTGGTTCCATTTTTGTTTTTCAGACTTTTCTTAAGCATGCATACTCAGGAGAACTGAGTGTAGAGGCCGGGCGCTCAGGGCCAGAGTACATCCCCAGGCTGATCCTGGTACTATGGCAGCTGCTTGCTGATACTGGGCACTAGTTTTGTGCTTCTCAGATTCTGGAATCTGAAGCAGAAGGCCACTCCAACACAAGGCATGGGAAAAGAGGGTTCCCCAATGTTGTGGGAGACAGTGCTCAGCAAGACAAACCAGAGCCAGCTTTGTAGTTTGTCGGTTTATTTGTTTTGTTTGCTTATGTCTGAGATAGGCTCTGGCTATGAAACCCAGGCTGGTCTTGAACTTGAAATGCTCCTGCCTCAGCCTCCTGAGTACTAAGATCATAGTCTGGCTGGTTATGGCTCTCTTAATATCCCTGAATATGGCCCAGCACTAGAGACCGAACAGATAAGTCCTCCAGAAATGAATTGACATCTGGAAGACTGAAGACACTGAGAGCCTAGTCTATTAGGAATGCAGAGTAGTGCTCAACGACAACCCTAGCCTGCACCTCCATCAGAGCGGGGCCTCAACACTGATCACAGATTTCACCATGTTCACAGTAGAGCACTGTCCCCAAATACACGAGCAACCTCCTGGCCCTGCAATGTAATCAGCACAGAACACTGCAAAGATTCTTTGATCCACACTGTCCCACCCCAGTGTCTGTGAAATGTCACAGCTCCTACTTTGTACATGAGGACACTGAACTCTAAGTACCCACAAATGAGGGAGGGAGAGGGAACCCCAGAACCAACTGTCCTGACAAGGATACCAACAGAGACAAGGAAGGAGAACATATCGGGGAGCTGATGTTTCTGTGTGCTAATTTACCACCTAGGCTCTGGGAAGTAACAAGGTGCAGTGAGACACGCTATCGAGATGGAAGGAGACTCTTAGCTCAGCTGTGCTCCTGAGAACAAGTTTGTACGACCTCATGTAAACAGAAGCAGGAGCTCACAAAGGGCCTCAACAGAACTCTGTGGCTTCAAATCACAATCTTCACAGGTCCCTATAATCACATGGCACTCCTTCAGATCTCTTATCCTGGGCCTGGACCGGGACCCCACTCTGCTTCTTTGGCTGGGTTCTTGCCTATCTCCCTCCAGGTCTCTGGGGGGGTTACCACTTACAACATCCACCATACTCACTCAGGTGCATGAAGGTGAAGGTGAGGACTGTGAGCTGCACAGCAGTCATCAGCCAGTGAGAGCTGGAAACTGTCCCAGGGTGACAACGTGGTTAGGCCACGGGTAGCAAGGCCCTTTCTAGGGCCACAGAGAAAGGTCTTCTTAATCCATAAGCATCTGTAGAACACTTACTAATGACATTTTTAAAAAATCAACAATGCCCCCTGACCTCAGAGATTCAGAAGAGCAGGCCCAGGAATGCAAATTCGGCCAGACACTGAATGTGCATCACAGATGAGGGCCGGGAGGGGCAATAGGAAGAACTACCTCACTACAATGCCCACTTTGGCCTCTCTGGCCTGGCCCACCCTGAGCCCTGTCTCCATGATGATTGCAGTTGGCTGTCTTAGCATCTCTCCAGAAATGTCCTGTCTTCCTCCTTAGCTTCAAGTGTCTCATATAGGTACAATGGAGACACCACTGGCTCTTACCTTCAGCCTCACAGCAATAATTTCCGTCATATGGGGTCAGCTGCCTTCATTTCACAGGTGGACCCTGCCCTCTGACCTCATATGGAGCAACTGTTGACTTGAAAAGGAGAAAGCCCTGGGTTGCCCACACTGTCCCAGCACTCTGATGTCTCATGAACACTGAGAAGGAGCAATGAGCACAGAGCTTACCTCCTTCAGACACATTTGGTAACATTTGCCAGTGATGGAAACCCTTAACTTTGTAGCATCAAAGCATAATTTCCAAAGAATTAAAAGCAGATTCTCAAGCCAGGTGTGGTAGTGCATACTTGTAATCCCAGCACTGGGAGGCAGAGGCAGGAGAATCTCTGAGGCCAGCCTGGTCTACAGAGCGAGTTCCAGAATAGCCAGGGCTATACAGAGAAATCCTGTCTCAAAGAAACAAACAAAAAAGCAAATTCTCACTGAGGAACCCATGTCACCATGTTAAAATTTTTCTTCAGCAGATCACTGAGGGTACTGGTAAGATGGTGAGGTGGCAGAGGAACACTGGAGGGTCAAACCACAAGACCACTAGGGACAGTGCATGGCTAGGACAAAGCAGTCTTGGTGCTGACCACACCATCTTACTGACTGGGTAAACTGTGAAGTTTACATAACCCAAACCCCCCTAGGTTACCAGTTCCTGTGAACTTAAGTCCTAGTATGAGATGGAAAGGATCCAAGGCCCACAGTGACTGAGGATGAAAGCAGACAGAAGGCGGAAGCTGGCCAGACTGGGAACATGACCATACTCTGGGCTCAAAATCAATGGGTCATGAAGTCTCTTTGTAACAATCAGTCCTTACAGTTGCCTTAGGGTAAGCACTGGCCCAAATCTATCTATGTGGTTGGTTGGGTGAGGTGGTGCACACCACACCTGGAATCCCAGCATCAAAAAGCAGAGATTGCAACTTTGAAGACAAGATTGAGCTTCACAGCAAGACTTTGTCTCAAACAAATCATCCCTCCCTCTATCATGGAAAAAGAGCAAAGGACCCTCCCTCACAGGCCTGAAAAGGCCTGCAAAGCCCCCAAGCTGACCTTAGAAGGTCTTACTTTCTTCTGCTTCCTCACCACCAACCAGGCCCTTGGCTGTGAGGGAAATGACCCTACTGCTCTCTATCCAGAAAGGGTATGGGGTATGGAGTTACTTTGCTTTTCCCAGAGTCCCAGTTTTCCTGGCTTTTACCAGACACTTCTCA